TGAAGGCAGTAATAATGAATTTATCAGTCCATATTTGCCCCTCACTGAGGGATCTGGAGGAGCAGTCAAATGAATGTAAACCCCACTCTGTTTTCCATAAAGTATTTGGTCCAGAGGGCTGCAGGCTGAAGTCACTGTCCCTGTCAGGCTGACTCCCTCCACCGACAGCAAACTGCTGCCTTAAAATCCAAGAATTGACCTACAATCACTACACTGCCAAATACAACTGTGATTTCTTAGAATGTGGTCTCTCTGTGTCTTTTGTGTAAAACATTTCCTAAGATGTCTTTGTGTGGCTATTAACAATCATAGTTGCTGTGCTGTTAAACTTTTAAAATGGCAAGTCAAAGCATTTCCTTGGGATCTCTTCCGAAATCCTCTTTTGTTATGGACCACTCTCAAGCAAAACCTGGAAAACAACAAAAAAAAGTAATAATGAATCTGTTAAGGAATGGGTAATATTCCTTTCTTTCACCCTCACTAAAAATTACTCAGAAGCATATCTTTAAGGGGGCACGGATTTCTGGTCAACCTGAAAGAAGACATGAAAATGGTTAAGACAAAGGAGCAAAGTGGTGATTATTCAGCCGTTGCAAGTCTTTCAGGGGAAAGTTAAACTAAACACTGCGACACTTTTTCTGTTGGTAAGGCTGGTTAATAGAATAGGACAGAATACATTGACTAGAGAAATCATAGAATTTTTAATTTCAGAGACTTTTAAGCAAAGACCAGGCAAATGCTTGATAGGAACAATTTAGGTAGTGCTGATGCTATGGTGGAGCAGGGAACAGACCAGGAGACCTCTTCAGATCTCCTGTAAATTTATCTTCTTTGATTCTGTGCCTACAAACAGAAAGGACTGTTAGCCAAGAACATGCTAAACTTGGGAAGGTGTGCAGTAATGTTTTAAATCCATTTATATACAAACTAAAGTTTAAGAAAATATACATATGAGATGAAGAACTGCAAATGAAAGATGACAGAGAAATAACACACAGGCATTTGAAATGTGGGCCGAAAATAACACAGGATTCATCTTGGAAAATGCATGCTAACATACTTGGGGAAATATAATCTGAAATAATATCCTCAGTGGGCAAGTGAAACCTGGAAATCATTTAGGTTACAAAGGAATCTTCTGGCTGATTGAGGACAGAGTATTAGATTGATGTGTTTAAAACACCACTGTAATGGATGGAGCTCAGCTGGGACTTTCAAATTCAGGTTTGCTGCTGCTGCAACTGAGACACACAATCCCCCAGCACTCATGGTAACAGTCTACCAGCTGATTTATACCTCCATTGAAAATCTGGCTGGAAATGTTTAGACATTCACGCTATTTTACATTGCAAAATTAAACTGACCACCTGCCTTGGGAAATAGCTTTGGTGTTGAGTCACTGAAGCTTCACCTGGAGACCAACAGCCAGCTCTAGAGATACAGCCTGATGACGATCTGGCTGAATACTGTTTTCCAACAGAGTGAGTAAGGTAACAGGCACCCTTCCACACCTCCCCAATTTATGTGTAGTATGGCAGTCTGAGCAATGTCTTGATTCATTGTCATTAGTAAACATTAAAATTCCTGTCGCAGCTTCTATGGATACAGAATTCTACCAATACTGGGTATTAAAAATTTCTGATATTAGCTGGAGGGAAAAACAAGGCAAAGTAGGTGGGGAAGAATTCAGGTGATGAGATAAATTATAGAAAACAGCATGAAGAACTGGTAAAAAAACCACAAATGCAAATACTGTCAACCTCTTAGTTTTTCAATTCTTGCAAATTATTAGACAGTCTCTTTTACCTGCTTTGGCTACCAGCTATAGGTTCCTTACCTGTCTGTTCACAAGGAGATCTAAAGCCACTGAAGAAAATTCCTTGTCCACCTGATAGGAGCAACTAATTTGAACTCCCGACCCTTGCTTCTGCAAGGAGCTTTAAAATGTGGGTAGACAGAGATGACAGAAATACTACACCCCACTCAGTCTCCACCTGATAAGAGCAACTAATTTGAACTCCCGACCCTTGCTTCTGCAAGGAGCTTTAAAATGTGGGTAGACAGAGATGACAGAAATACTACACCCCACTCAGTGTACTGTTGGCAGCACCTTTTTACCTAGTTACAGAGAAAAACAACATATTCATTTCAGAGACTTTTATTTCCTCAGAGTCCAGGAGCAATAATTTTGTTTTAGATGTTTTCTTTAACACAAAGTTTTCCATTCTGTCAGTGACACACTCAGCAGCTCCTGCCATAAACACAAGTCCAAGCACAGTATGATTTCGTGAAAGACCTTACATCAGCTATGGCAGCAATATGTTTGCTCTGTGTGCGATCTACAGACTCCCATAGTGAACCTATTTGTACTTACATGCAGCAGTTAGATGTCCCATCACTGGAAACAAAAATTAGCATGGCTCCCTCTGCCTCCAATACTCACTTTGTGATTGTTGTGTCCTTTTCTACCTACTTCAGTTGGATATTCCCACAGGCTCTTGACAGCTCTTACTTGTCTATTTGGAAGGAAACAGAAGGTAATGTTTCCAAAGGAACTAACCTACAATCTGAGAAGTCTGTCTCCTAGCTCTGTTAAGATGATAGCCACAGAGTAAACCAATCCTTCCACTTCTCCCTGCTCTTGATACTATTTCTCCATCCAAAGCAAGCTTTAATTAGACCTCCCTGTTTTAACTACATCATGCACAGAAATGAGATCATTGCTATACTCTGGCAAATGAGGTTGATCTGTGTGGTCCTCCAGCTGTGCAGAGTGCTTTTCTCCATGAAAATTTTCCTGTTCACTGTGAAAGGAATTTTGTTATCTGATATTTTTTCTTTATATCACTGTATCTTACGAACACATGGAAAGGGTCTGATGTTGGACTTCACCAGATTGAGCACAGAGAAGCTGTGTTGGACAAAATCATTTACTGAGTTCATTGTGCAGGATCCTCTCCTGAGGGCCTTGAGTGGTGGAAAATACAGCATGACTACTGGCACAAGCCATGCCAGTTTCCTGCT